ATATATATATATATATATATATATATATATATATGTATATATATTGAGCTGGACACTTATAATTTGTGTACTTTTCTATGTGTAAATTATACCTCATTCTTTTAAAAAAGTGATGTTTTCCAATACCACATAAAACTACGTCCTTTTTCTCTGACCATTTTTGCCATTTATTTCTAACTTTGACATTATTCTTCTCCTTTTGCTCTTTTTATTCCCATTAACTGTCATATTATTCATTCATACAACTAATAATAGATGTTGATAACAGTAAAATGTATTTGTGTCATTTTGGGCATTTCATAGTAATCAATAAATATATATATACCCTTTCCTAACTTAGAGAGTTTTGGGGGTGCAATAGTTAAAGCATTTGGCTGCTAACCAAAATGTTGGCAGTTTGAACCCACCAGCCACTCTGTGGGAAGATGGTTAGGCATGCAATCTGCTTCCATAAAGATTTACAACTTTGGAAACCCTGTGAGGCAGTTCTGCCCTGCCCTATAGGGTCACTATGAGTCAAAATTGACTCCAGGCAGTGGATTTGGACATGGCTAGGTTCCAAAGATCAGGTCATTATGTGAAAATCAGCATTAAGCAAAAATGGAGGACAACTGTATCATTATAAAACTGCCAAATTACATTGTTATATAACTGCCAACCTACTGAGAATCATGACCCAACCAAGTTGACACATAACTTTCATAGCCAGCATTACTCTTGCCTCACTTCAGCATTCGTTACTGCCAGATATGTGTTGTTAATGTGAAAAATATTCAGATAGTGGATTTTTTACTGTTGTCATAAATGGAAAATGTCAAATAGCAAGATAATTGATAAGTGAGAAGAGGGTGTATTAGATCCCTGCCAGTGCTTGGCATTCTACTTTATATAATATATATATATATATATATATATAATTTGCCTCAAACCAAAACCAAACTCACTGCCATTGAGTTGGATCCGACTCATAGCAACCCCTCCTTGGGTTTCCAAGGCTGTATCACGACAGAAGTAGATTGCCCAACCTTCCTTCTGAAGAGTGGCTGGTGGGTTTGAACCAGCAGCCCAGAGCTCCCATATAAAGAGATAAGAAGCATTATTTCATTAGTTCAAATTAATTTACTTATTAATTAGTGAACTATGTTAGTAGTTTGGAAATTTCCAGTATGTTCCATTTGTGTAGAGCACATTAAAATGTTTATACTATTTTTTGTTACAGTTTTTCAAAGGATAAAAAATATTTAAGCTTTGGTGCATTTTACAAAATTTTGAAAGCATCTGTTTACCTTATTGAATCAAACCTTTTTTAAATATAATCTTACTTATTTTGTTGTTGTTGAGAGCATACATAGCAAAACATACACCAATTCATCAGTTTCTACATGTACCACTTAGTGATATTGATTACATTATTGGAGTTGTGTAACCATTTCACCTTTTTTGAGTTGTTCCTCCTCCATTAATATCAATTAACTCCTCCTCAAAGATCTGGTAGCGTAGTGCCTAAGGGACTTGACTACTAACCAGAAGACTGGTGGTTGAAACCCACCAGCCACTCCTGGAAGGAAGGTTGGGCGATCTACTTCTGTAGTGATACTGCCTGGGAAACCCCAAGGAGGGGTCGCTATGAGTCAGGTCTGACTCGAAGGCACATTAACAACATGGGTCCTATTTAATCTTTTGAATTGCTATTATCAATTGGATCCTTCATCAATAGTTCTTAAAGTTTAGCTAACCTATTGTTTGGTTTTAAAAAGTCCTCGGGATATTTTTGGTTTAAGGCTTAAAGATTATCTCAGAGCGAGAATTTTGCAGGTTCTTCTAGCCTCTATGTCTCCAGAAAGTCTAGAGTCCATGACACTTTGCCCATTTTTTTAGTTGTGTTGTCTTGTTGTTGAGTTGTAGGTGTTCTTTATATACTCTGTACATTAAACCCTTATCAGATGTGTGTACCCAAATATATTTTCCCATTCTGTAGGTTGTCTCTTTACTTTCTTGTATCAAATCCTTTGATAAATAAAATAGCTACAGTAGCTTTTTGTTGCTTGCAACTCAGAACTCTGACTAGGGGGGTGAGGGAAATATGTCTTTCCCCCTCTACCCCACTCAGCGTTCTCAGTATATGTATATTCAGACACACACACACAGTTTTTTTCCAAAGCTGATCACAAGCAAATATTGTGTTCTGTTAAGTAAATTTGCACCCAAAGTTTTAATATGTTTTAGACTTACTTTGTGAGATATGTTGTAAACAGTAAAGATTCTGAATAATTATTTCATTCTAACACTTACATTTTAAAATTTCAGTGTGCTTTGTGGACCATGTGCTGCTATGTATGCCTGAAATACTTGAAATGCAAATTTGGAGAGACTGAGCTATCTAAATGCTTGACTGGATTAAGCGCCTAGTTAGAATGGTGTTTCAGCAAGTTGGAGTAAGCATGCAATCGGTATGTGCACAGAATTCATTTTTAAAATCTAGGCATTTAGTTAAGTATTTTTTCTGAGGAAAAGTAGGTATTTTTGTATATGAGCAACATTTTGAACTCAGTAGTATGTACTTCTATTTCATTTGCTTACTATTTAAATCATAGAAGTAAATTTTTACCCAGCATACCTGAGTATTACTTTCTGGATTACATTGAATGTGACCAGTAAAAGCAATAATATTATTAATGAGGAAAAGTTTTAAATATATGTGGAAATCAGTGACTATAATGTTGTTGACTAACATTTGAAAGTGAATGTTGTAGAATTATTGGTATTGAATGTTGTTACAGTGTGATGTATCACACATTTTTTAAAAATACAAGGTAAGTCATTCTCTCCTAAAATATATAAAGAAAAAAAAAGTTTTAGAATAATATGGTAACTCTAAGTCAACGATGTTAGTTTTGATCTTGATTTTTTTTAAAGAAAATTTGTTAAAGAATTTTCTATTTATATAAGTAGAATTATATAATAATTATTATATAATAATATAATAATTATAATTTTAAATAATTATAAATTTGATTCAGATCAAAATATAAAAATATATATATACTAATGTAAAAGTGATAGAGCAGTTGTGCCAAGCATATTTTGTGGAATATTTGTTTTCATTTTCAAATTAAGTGTTATGGTGTTTCATGAGATGGAATTAAATTTTATTCTTTAAATATAGGCAGGTTCTATAATTTGAATATATAGAAGTACTTTTTAGTATATTACTTTCTGTTTTTATTTTGTGTCTTTTTCACCTTGTTAAGGTTTGAATCCTCTCTCTCTCACCCAGCCTCTTCAATGTTAAATCTGTTTGCTTTGAAGATAAAAAGCAAAGAACCAAATTACTTTTGTTTACAGCTACATAATTTTGAAATTATTAGCTGAGGAAAGCAATAGGAAAATAGCTTGTACAATTACTATTATTTTTATCTTTTTTGGTTATATGTTCCTATGTTCTGGACTCAATGGAGGTATACCACTTTTCTCATTTATTATTTACCAGCATTTATATAAAAGGGTAGGTTAACATTTTATTTTAGTACAGATAGCATTTTTTTTTTTCTCTTGATTCCAGAAAGAAGAGAAAGGAAGCTTTGTTATGTATGATTCCCAAAAAGAGAAGTTGTATGATTTATTTATAATTACTAAAATTGGTGGTTCAAACCCACCAGCCACTCCTCGCAAGGAAGGTTGGGCAATCTACTTCTGTAGTGATACTGCCTCGGCAACGCAAGGAGGAGTTGCTATGAGTCGGGGCCTACTCGACGGCACATAACAACAGCAACAATTATGATTTTAGTAAGAAATACAGTTTAGTGGAAAGATTCTAGGTTCTGGATTTAAGCAAATCAACTTTGAAATTTATTTCCGCTAGTTACTAGTGTAGAAGAATGAGAAGTCATTTAATATCTCTGAGCCTCAATCTCTTTATTACAAGATAGGAATAAGAAGAATTACTATAATGTTAACCTGTGGATTAAATAAATAACAGTCTATGTGAAGCGCCTACCACAGTGGCTTGTGTATAATTGTAGGTATAATCAATAATGGTTAGTTTCATATGTTTTTGCTTTCTCCCACCTCACCCTTAAGTCACACTAGTTTGACTAATGCAGGTAAGGTCAAAGTGCAGAATTCCATTTCAGTCAGGATTACATAGAGAACAAGCTTTATTTAAATAGGTTGTACAATGAGTGCCTTTGATCAGAGAATGGATGAACAAAGAGTGCATTAACTTGCTCCCAATATTGCAATCTGAATTCAGAGCCATTCTTACTGATAGTAGAAGAACAAGGTCATTTGTGTTTGTGTGTGTCTGTGTGTGTGTATTAAGGGTAACATAATCATCAACTTTATAATCAGTTAGCTGAAAATCTATACAAAAAGCAAGTTTTCTGTTAACATAAAGCAACTTGACCCTTTGTAGTTATAGTCTTCTTAGTTTCTAAGATCTTTTAGCCTGCTGCCTAAGTATAAAACTACAAAGGTATAGCTACCTAGATTTTTTCTTTTGGTATCTGAAAATTAAAAAAAAAAGCTTTCTTAACTCTACTTTTCAATGATAAATGGTATATTTCCACTGGTTTGATATGTAAATGACGTACTGTATTTGAAAGCGTTCCAAGGGCAGAGATTGCCTTTACCTATTTTATCTGCTTTTAAAAAAAAAATTGGAAACAAGCTCATACATCTATGATCAGTTCATTTTGGACAAGGCTGCCAAGTCTGTTCAATGGGGGAAAGAATAGTCTCTTCAATAAACGATTCTGGGACAGCTGGATTATCACATGCAAAAAAATGAAGTTGGACCCATACCTCACACTCCATATGAAAATTAACTCAAAATGAGTCAACAATCTAAATATAGAACTAAAACTATAAAACTCTTAGAAAATTACACAGGGATAAAGCTTTAGTAAGCTAATTTTAGACAGTGAAGTCTTAGATGTGACACCAAAAATACAAGCAACAAAAGAAAAAAATAGATAAATCAAACTTTATCAAAATTAACAACTTTTGTGTTTCAAAGGGCTTTATCAAAAAAGGGAAGAGGCAGCCTACAGAATGGGAGAAAATATTTGATAAGCACTTTATATCCAGAATATATGAAGAACTCCTGCAATTTGATGACAAAAAGGGCAACTCAATTAAAAAGTGAGCAAACTTGAATAGACATTTCTCCAAAGAAGATAAATAAATGGCTAATAAGCACATGAAAAGATGTTTGATGTCAGTAGTCCTTTGTTGTTGCTGTTAGGTGCCATCAAGTCAGTTTCAACTCATAGAGATCCTATTTACAACAGAATGAAACACCACCTGGTCCTGTGACATCCTCACGAATCATTGCCATGCTTGAGCTCATCATCACAGCTGCTGTGTCAGTCCATCTTATTGAGGATCTTCTGCTTTCTCGCTGACCCTCTACTTTCCCAAACGTGATAAACCAAACCAAACCCACTCCTATCTAGTCGATCCTGATTCATAATGACCCTCATTGGGTTTCCGAGGTGATAAATCTTTATGGATGTAGAATGCCCAGTCTTCTGCAGAGTGGCTGGTGATTTGAACCGCCAACCTTCTGGTTAGTAGTCAAGTGCCTTATGCACTGCATTGCTTGAGCTCCTTTCCCAAACATGATATCCTTCTCTAAGGACTGGTTGTTTTTGACAACATGACCAAAGTATGAGAGACAGAGTCTGGCCATTCTCACTTGTAAGGAACATTCCAGCTGTACTTCTTCCAAGACACATTTGTTTATTCTTCTAGCAGTTCATGGTACATTCAACGTTCTTCACCAACACCACAATTCAAATAAATCAATTCTTCTGCGATCTTTCCTATTCATTGTCCAGTTCTCACATGGATATGAGGTTATCGAAAATAGCGTGCTTGAGTTAGGTGAATCTTAGTCTTCAAAGTGACATCTTTGTTCTTTAACACTTTAAAGAGGTCTTTTGCAGCAGATTTTCCCAGTGCAGTAGATTGTTTGATTTCTTGACTGCTGCTTCCATCGGTGTTGATTGTGGATTCAAGTAAAATGAAATCTTGACAACTTCAGTCTTATTCCATTTATCAAGATGTTGCTTATTGGTCCAGTTGTGAGGATTTTTGTTTTCTTTATGTTGAGGTGTAATCCATACCAAAGGTTGTTGTCTTTGATCTTAGTAAGTGCTTCAGGTCTTTACTTTCAGCAAGCAAGATTGTGTAATCTGCATATTACAGGTTATTAATTAGGTAAATGCAAATTAAAACCACAATGAGATACCAACTCACATCTACTAGGATGGCAATTATCAGAAAAAGAGAAACTAACTAGTGTTGATGAGGATATAGAGAAATTGGAACCCTTGTGCATTGGTTGTGGAAATGTAAAATAATGCAGACACTGTGGTAAACAGTTTTGCATTTCCTCCAAAAATTAAACATAGAATGGCTATTAAAGAAAAAAAAAAATCCACTGCCATTGAGTTGATTCTAACTCATAGTGACCACCATTGGGTGTCCAAGGTAGTAAAACTATAGAAGTAGACTGCCGCATCTTCCTTCCAGGGAGTAGCTGGTGGGTTTAAATTGCAGCCTTCTGGTTGGCAGTCAGATGCCTTGGGCACTGTACTACCAGAGCTCCTAGAATTGCTATATGACCCAGCAATTCCACTCCTAGGTATATACTCAGAAGACTTGAAAGTAAGGACTCAAATAGATGCCCATACACCAATGTTCATTGCAGCATTGTTCATAGTAGACAAAAGTTGAAAACAAGGGTTTCGTTAGCAGATGAGCAGATAAACAACATGTAGTATATCCATATGATTTAATGTTATTCAGCCATGAAGAGAAATTAAATTCTGATACATGCTGGAACATGGATGAACCTGGAAAATATGCTGAGTATAGATAAGTCAGACACAAAAGGCAAATATTACATGATCTCACTTTTATGAAATTAGTTCAGGCAAATGTGTAGAAATCAATATTTACTAGTGGTTACAAGGACCTGGGAGGTAAGGGACAAATGGGAATTACTGCTTAAATGATACTGAGTTTCTGTTAAGGGTGATGATGAACATTTGAAAATGATTAATGGTGATGATGTACAACATATGAATGTAATTAATGTCACAGAATTGTACACATTAAAATGGCACCTCTTTATTATATATATTTTACTGTAATTTAGAAAAAAAAGTACAACCTTCGACAGTAGGTTTTTGTTTTGTTTTGGCCATGAGGACAACCAGTGCTGATCAGCATTTTTGATTTTACTGTACATAACATCCCTGCCACAATCACTACCAAACTACCATTAAAAAACAAATAGTAACCACTGATTGGCTTGTTGTGTCAATGCCTGCTGTGCCCAGTCCTTTTATACATATTATATATGTTCATTAGAATAACCTATTTTACAGATGAGGAACCTGAGGTCTACAGTGCTAACTGACTTAGCCATACTCATATGACT